TTGTACCAGGAAAAGAAGTAGCGGAACAAACTCATGCTAAGGAACTTCGCTACAACAAAGCACTTAGGAGAGAAGCGCCGGAGAGTTTGAATGATTCTTTTCGGTTTGATATGCTGGCTCAGTTAGCCAATATCCCAGAAAGGATTACCTTGTTTGAGCTTCTACGTTTATCTCGATCAACGAGAGAAGCTCTTCATGAAGCATTGGCAGATAATGAGGCTTTCCTCACTCACTTTCTGCCAAATCTAGCCGGAGCAACGCTGGAAGAAGCTTGTCCTCAATGTTGTCAAGTTTTTCAAAGAAGAATGATGTGCATCACCTTTTCTCAAGAAGACATGCACGTGAGAACCCAAAACATGATAGACCGTTGTACTTCATAGGGTACATCAGCTCTATTCGGGTAGACAGAATTCAGGTTGATCCTGGTTCTACTTTGAGCATCATACCACTGAGGCTCATTCATCACCTTGGAGTTCCTCTGCATCGTTTATCAACAACGAGAACCACCATATATGGCTTTAATGCCTCTAATACTCGTCCCCTTGGCAAAATAAAACTCAAATGCCAGATGGGTGACTTGAGGATGGACGTTACTTGCTATATTATCGATGCAGAGACATCTTATAATTTGTTATTGGGTCGACCATGGATCCATAACAATCTGATTATTCCATCAACTCTACACCAATGCATGAAATATGTAGGTGAGAGTGGTGAAGTCAAAACAGTGGTCGCAGAGAAGTAACCATTCAAAGGGGTGGAGAATTATTTCACTGATTCTGTCCATTACCTTGATGGTGAGCCATTTGAAGTACCATTGATTGAAGAACCAGATAGCGGTAATGAAGCCGATATCGAGTCTGAGCACGAACATGGTTATGTTTTTAATAACATAAAACCCGTCGTAATCGGTCTTAAAAATCTGGATATAAATGAACTTGTCTATGAGGACAGCCGAGTTATTTTTAATAATAATGATAATTTAGCTTACTTATCGTATGATAAATTGAATCCTAACATGCCAGATACAAGCTCCAGTGTGGTGAGGGATCCACTATCCAAGTTATATGCTGAATCAAATTTATACATGCTAATTCAGTCGTCGTTTGTGATAAATCGACAACAAATCGAATCTTTGCAAGCAGTCTTCATAGTACCGGCTAAGGTTAACGGCCAAAAATACATCATCTCTGGAAAGAAGAGTGACGGCCCGGTGCAAACTCTTTTAGAGGAATCCTAGAAAGAGGAAAGAGATCCACATTTCTCGTACTTCACTCCAACAACCCGAAAGCTTATGAAGAATATGGGATATGATTTCATCCATAAAGAAGGCCTAAATTTCGGCAGAGGGATTCAGACACCAATACGATCTGCTCATGTCCCAGAAGGAAGGTCGAAGGATTATTATCACAAAACTCGTAGTGGGTTGGGTTATGAATCTCTACCATTTATGCTGCATTTTGGAACCAAAGGAGAGTCAGATGACGATTCTTTCACCTCATCTTCTGAATCTAACAGTTGGGAATCCGACACTAGTACAGGAGCTGTGTTCAAGGTACTCATGGCTAATATGACTTCAGCATCTCCCGTAGAAAATCAAGAAGATGACCAATTACTTTTGTTTGATGATCCGCTAAGCCAATAGCTGGGTATACAATGGGAACATCGTTTTGAACAATGTGAACCCCCTACTGACGACAAGGTGATTCAAGTGAACATAGGAGACGAGATTAATCCAAAACCCATATTCATAAGCGATAGCCTATCACCAGAAGAGAAAGAAGACCTTATTACTCTAATACGAGAGTATATTGATGTCTTCACCTGGAACTACGAGGATATGCCTGGGCTTGATCCCCACATGGCTATGCATCGATTAAACATCAAACCAGACGTCAAGCCTGTTAAATAACAACAAAGGCGATTTCGGCCCTAAATCATAGAGGTGATTGAAGCTGAAGTTAAAAAGATCATCGAGTTAGGATTTATCTGTGAAGAGCAACATCCAAATTGGGTGGCCAATATTGTCCCTGTTCTGAAAAAGAATGGGAAGATTCGAGTGTGCATCGACTTCCGAGATTTAAATTCGGCTTGTCCTAAAGATGATTTTCCTTTACCTATCATGGACGTTATTATTGACAATACGTGCGGGTTTGAAAGGATGTCTTTTATGGATGGATTCTCAGGGTACAACCAAATCAAAATGTATCCTGATGATGAAAAGCACACATCCTTTCGAACACCTTCAGGGATATATTGTTATACAGTAATACCCTTTGGATTGAAGAATGTTGGTGCTACCTATCAACGTGCTATAACCTCTATCTTTCAAAAATATCTATGGAAGACTGTAGAATGTTACGTTGATGACTTGGTTGTTAAAAGTCGTGACAAGGGAAGCCATTTGTACGACTTGAAAACAATGTTTGATCTTATGTGAGCACACCAGTTGAAGATGAATCCAACTAAATAATTCTTAGGAATGGCTAGTGGTAAATTTCTCGGATTCGTGGTCACAGCTAATGGAATTCGTTTAGACCCAGACAAAGTCAAAGCCATCCAAGAGCTACCACCTCGTAGGAATCTTAAGGAGCTTCGAGGCTTACAAGGACGGTTGGCATATATTCGCAGGTTCATTTCTAACCTGTCAGGGAAATGCCAGCCATTCTCAAAACTAATGAAGAAAGGAGTGTCCTTCATGTGGGATGAGGCTTGCCAGAAAGCGTTCGAGGAGATTAAATAATATCTCTCCAATCCACCGATCTTAGTTGCACCGAAGTCAGGTAAACCTTTCTTGATATACATCCTAGCTACAGATCATGCATTGGTAGGACTCTTAGCACAAGATGATGAAAACGGCCATGAACAAGCTGTCTACTATCTCAGTAGGACTCTATCAGGTGCTGAACCTTGTTATCATCTTATTGAGAAGGAATGTCTAGCGCTGGTCTTCACAGTTCAGAAGATGTGACATTATTTGGTTGGGCAAACTATACATGTCATTTCCCAGATCAATCATATTCGGGTATTCATGACACAGCCCAGTGCATTGAACTGACGGCTCGCTAGATGGGCTTTGTTGCTTTCTCAATATGACATTCATTTCAAACCTCAAAAAATAGTGAAGGGGCAGGCTATTTGTGACCTTATGGCCAATCACCCACTGAAAGAAAAGGTCAAATTGTACCAAGACATACCAGATGAGACGTATGAAGCAAATGTCATCTCTAGAGAGCAAGTATGACAATTATACTTCGATGGTGCAGCAAGGACAAGTTCTACCGGTCAGGTTATAGCTAGAGCAGGGGTCGTCTTTATCTCTCCCCAAAATCACATACTCCCATGCGCCGTTTCTTTAACAGAGTCGTGTTCTAATAATGTGGCTAAATACAATGCTTTGCTGGTTGGCCTAGATATAGCTAAACAGCTGGGGGTGAAACATTTAGAAGCGTATGGCAATTCTCAACTCATTGTTAATCAAATGAAGTGAGAATATGAAATTAGGAATGAAGACCTCATTCCTTACCATACTGCAGCAATCGCATTGGCCGATTCCTTTGAGGGCTTCTACATCGACCATATACCTCGTCTCAAGAATACCTATACTGATGCATTGGCATCATTTGCGGCTACCTTAGCTCTACCTGAGAGAACTACCCAGCAAGTCACAGTGACAAGCAGACAATTATTCAAGTCAAAATATACATTGCAGGTCAACACAATTGAAGGTGAGCCCGCAACGCTCGAACCTAAGGATTAGCGATTTCCGATCATTGATTATGTCTTATACGGCTTGTTACCTAAAGATATCAAGGAAAGAGAATCTATCCGTAGATGAGCACCTAGATTCTACTATGATTCTCAATCCCAGACTTTGTATCGAAAGTCGTACGATGAACTTTTGCTTTGTTGTTTGTCAAATAGAGAAGCAAAAGAAGCTCTTAAAGAAGCTCATGATGGTATTTGTGGAGCTCATCAGCCTGGTCCTAAATTGTGGGACCGACTATGCAGATTGGGTTATTACTGGCCTAACATGGTACAAGACGCTGTCACTTATGCTAAACGATTCCATGCCTACCAGATACATGCCAATTACATGCATCGACCGCCTGAGCATCTTCATCCGTCAACCACTTTATGGCCTTTTGAAACATGGGGAATGGACATTGTTGGCTCAGTAAGATCACCCTCTTCCAAAGGACATCACTTCATTTTAGCAATAACTGGTTACTTTTCTAAATGGGCAGAAGCAATCCCATTGAGAGAAGTCAAGACGAGTGATGTTGTTAAATTCTTAAAACATCACATCGTATACAGGTATGACATTCCGAGGTGTATCATTCATGATAATGGATCCTAATTCATTAGCCAAGCCTTCACCCGATTCTGTGATAAATTCAGGATTAAGAATTTGGCTTTAACGGCTTATAATCCTGCTGCTAATGGGCAAGCAGAAGCATTTAACAAAACCATCGTTAGAATTCTCACTAAGGTAATTTTGATGAATAAAAGAGATTGGAACGAGAAATTGGGTCAAAGTTTGTGGGCTTATCGCACAACGGTTCGCACGCCGACAGGAGCGATACCATATTCCTTGGTATATGGATATGAAGCCGTATGACCATTGGAAATCCAAATTCCATCTCGACGAATAGCACTCGCAATTGGTATGATGACGGAAGAGAGTCATCGTCGACATCTTGAAGAGTTGGAAGCGCTTGATGAAAAGCGACTATTGGCTCAGCAACACATCGAGCTTTATTAAGCTCAAATTTCCAAAGCATTCGATAAGAAGGTTAGATACTGCACGTTCAAAGAAGGTGACTTGGTTCTTACCGTTCTGTGTCCAATGGTTTTGAACTCCAAGAAGAAAGGGAAGTTTGAGCCAAAATGGAAAGGACTATTTGTAGTAGAAACCATCTACTCAAATGGAGCTTATCACCTTATTACTCAAAATGATGACAAACTTATGATGCCTATCAATGGTAAATTTCTGAAGAAATATTACCCATAAGCTTCACCGTCAGGTATGCCTTACAATAGGAGAAGAAGCAGATAAAGGTAATGGTTTCCTTACTTCGTCTTCTCCAAATTTTCCTAGCTAATCCTCTTCAATAGGATAGGGGGACTACTATTATGTTAATTCTACCTCTGATAGCTGATGGTTTTTGTTCAAAACGGTATCTTTCCAATAGTAACCTACTATAGGATGTGTTACTTCATTATGTGATTTTCCTAACGTCGTCGTTTTCCCCCAAATGATGTTCGTTTTTCTAACTTAGGCCTACCAAGTAATATGCCTTCGTTTCAATCATCATCGTCATACTGCTTAGTCACTGAATGATGTGATTTTCCTAACATCATCATTTCTCCAAATGACGTTCGTTCTCCCAACTCAGGCCTACCAAGTGATGTGCCTTCATTTCTATCACCATCGTCATACTTCTAAAGTCATTGAACAATGTGATTTTCCTAACGTCATCGTTTTCCCCAAATGACGTTCGTTTTTCTAACTTAGGCCTACCAAGTGATGTGCCTTTGTTTCAATCATCATCGTCATACTTCTAAAGTCACTGAACGATATGATTTTCCAAACGTCGTCATTTTACCCCTAATGACGTATGTTTTCCAACATTGGTTTACCAAGTGAGGAACCTTTGTTTTCTTTATCATTGTTATCTTAAGTCATTGAGTGACTTAATATTCCTAACTTCGTCATTTTCACGAATGACGTTCGTTTTCCTTACGAGTCTGTCATATGTTGAACTGCGTTCTTAATACTTAGTTATATTTTGAACCTCGTTATCATATATTTGATCTGAAGTCTAAAAGAGACTAAAGATAGAAGAGAAATCTGAGCATTAAAGTCTAAGAGAAACTCTTTGACAATTCATCATACTGAGGGGAAAAGTATGGCTAGTCCAACTCAAACGGCAGTTGGTAAAGACAACTCAAGTCCGTTGACAGCTGAGGGTTTGCTAAAAATCCTAAGTTAGAATGCTTCAGTTATGCAAAAGAACAATATAGGGATAAAATATAAATTTTATTCATATATAATTGAAAGTACAGAAACTCGAAGTACATAGATTGAACTTAGAAGATCCGAACTACAATACAAGGTTCAGTTACAAGTTCTTTCAGTTACAATACGAGCTTCAGTTACAAGTTCTATCAACTATACTACGAAGTTCAATTACAAGCTCCATGACCTTCGAGATTGCGCTATGAGCCTCGTCCACAACAAGATCGTTGTCTTGTTGTTGAAGTTCCATCTACCGTTCCTGGGCATGAAGTCTTCCACATACCTAACTCTTAGCTTTGGCGCTTGTAGCACATGTTTACCTACTTGGGTAAACTGACTACTAATTAAAACACCACAAGCTCTGAGCATAGGATCAACACTTCTCCCATCTCTGCAGAACGTGAAGATAACTCTAACATTATTGCTGACTCCTCTCAAAAGAAGCACTTCAATGAGTCTGTGAAGCTGCCACATAGACCGAAGTCCAGCAAAGGGACTGCATGCTTGGGGGTGCATAGCATGTCAAAACAGTAAGCATATTTGGACTCAAGATATCTCATAGGAGTTACATTCAAAAGTCCAACAAGTTGTCGAAATATGTCCTGATTTCGACTCTAGAACACTGAGAATTCCTCAAATGAGCGAGCTACTACAAAGACCAAGAGACCATGGATCGGATCAGAAGAGTTACCTGAAGTGACAAAGTCATCAACTTTGCCTACCTCACCGACAATGATTATCGGAGCTTGGAGTATAATAGGAAGCAAAGGTGGAAGTCTTAAAATGGTTCATTTCCTTTGAATCATTTTGAAAACAAGGCACAGAAGAGGAAGATGAATCCACTCGAAAAGTGACTGCCTATTTATAGACGAAGGTGCCAACCAAGTGGCTGGGATTGTTAAACGAATCCCTAAGCACCGAACCACCAAAGGGTGTTGTGAACGAAGCGACGCCATCAATTATATTCGTAATTAATGCCAAAGAAAACGTGGCTCGAAACAACACATTAAGTACTCAAGACTTAACGTTGACGAGATGAAACGACGGATTCTTATGGATTAACAGTCATAGAACTGTTGAAAGTTGCCACGTCGTTCAACGAGATTTATTCTTGTTCCTAAGTCAAAAATAACGAGGGTTGCTGTTTTAAACTAGACTTAAGTATTAAAACTCGATCGAAAGTGGATTCGAACCTCGTCTTCGACGAAGGTCATCCTTCTATTAGACTCAAGTGTTGAGACTTGATTAAAATAGGATCCGAACCTCGTCTTTGATAAAGGTCGTTCCTTTAATTATACTCAAGTGTTGAGACTTGATTGAATTTGGAATCCGAACCTCATGGTCGACGAAGGTCGTTCCTCTGAAATTGGATCCGAACCTCGTCAACAAAGGTCATTCCTCTGAAATTGGATCGGAATCTCGTCTTCGACGAAGGTTGTTTGATAGTCACATTTTATTACAATTTTATACCCTCATTATCTATTTTACATGAATAAATATACCATTAATAATTGTTGTTAGCTTAGTTTCCACATAATTGAATGAAAATATAAATAAATATTATTAAATGTAAAAACCCCTCTAAATCTCTCTTCTCTATTTTGTAGCATTTTAGAAGCCCATAAAGCAAAAGCTTAAAAGAGGAAAATGATTGAAGCCCAAAGAGCAAAGCCCATAAAAAATACACCAAGGAAGCTATGCTTGGACACGGATGCAAATAGTGGAATGAAGTGGGCTTTTATGCAAAGATTTGAAGTGATTCTCATGACCGAACCTGCTGCAGAGTTTGGAAGTTGTGGGCCGGACTTTATGTAATTTTGAAATTGAAATGCTATGGGCCGGTCTTTGCTCTTGATTTTCATTTTCGTTTTAAAATCAAATGAGAGAATGGGCCAGAGACTCATGAATTGGCTTTTAAACTCAAGTGGGCCGGATTTATTTTGTCTTTTAATCACATGAAAGTGGATTTTTCTCTCAAGTGGGCCGGATTTATTTTGTTTTGGAAATCAAATGAAATGTGGACTTGTGAAGTGGACCGGACCTTCATTTTCTAAAACAAATGAAGATGTGGGCCGGACTTGATGGGCTGCTGCAGAATTTGAAAAATCAAATGAAGATTGGGCCTTGGAAAATCAAATTAAGATTGGGCTAGAGAAGAACAAAAAGCAAATTTAAAGGTAGAGATTGTTGCTTGGGGATCAAGACAAATCCAATGGCTCATATTCATTGAAGATTACTATAAATAGGGGTAGAGAGTGAGGGGTTAAGGGTGTGAAAATTTTTATAACTCCTTTTAGAGAGGAGGGTTACTCTTAATTAAGAAGGCCTTCCAAAATTGTAACTTTTTATTGCAATTAATAATAATAATTTTTTCACCACTTTAAATTTTTCTCTTCTTCTCTTTGTTGGATGATGAAGATGAAGATGAAGATGGAAAATTATTTGAAGGTTTGCATTTCTTTTCTTTTTCTCTTTTATTGCTTATTAGTTTAGATTTATTTCTATGCTTGTAGTTAGATTTTATTTTCTTGTTAAATAGCCAAGAGGCTAGAACCCTCTTGCCTTAGATTTATTTCATGCTTATAGAGTAGATTTATTTTCTTGTATTTAATTCTTGTAATTTTATTTTGTAGTTTAGATTTTGTAATTTATTTTGTAGTTAGATTTTAATTTTTTATACTATTCACCTTGAGGCTAGAACCCTCTTGGGTTTAGTTTTTCTTTTTGTTTATTTTTATTTTGTTTGATTCACCTTTAGGCTAGAACCCTCTAGGGAATCACCATTTTCTAAGAAGTGGGTTAAATTTTAAATTATCCATATCTATAATTGAATCCACCATCTTTAATTTCTTGCATTTTCTTTTATTCTATAATTTTGTTCTTCATTCTTGATTTTTTTATTTGTTTCTTGATTTTATTCATTTTTCTTTCTCACCTTATTGATAATACTCATTTTTTTTTCAAATCCACTCTCACTTACACTTTGCACCTATTTACACACCATTTTTACTATCTCAATCATTCTCTCCACAATCACATTTACTTATCATTCCTATTTGTCACACACACAACATAAGAACCAAATTCATATTTTCTCCTACAAAACACCTTCCTCGTGGGATCGATATCTTAAATACTATAATTTAACACGGTTGTGCATTTGCAACCTTTTTGGTACATGTTTATGTCGCATTAAGTTTTTGGCGCCGTTGCCGGGGAAGGTGCTTAAGTAGGTTTTAATTATTTTGGTTCTTTAACTTGTGTGTTTTTTGTGAAAGAACTACGTAAAGATTAAAGATCAAGAATTAGAGATTGAGGAATTGGATATTCGCTTGTGGTAAGTCTTCTTCCTTATATTTTCAATTCCACACCTTTAGTTTGTTTCTCACAATTAGTGACAATTAGGATCTTTAAAAAAGAATTTTATTTCCGTTGACCATAATAAAATTCACCCTTCACTTTGACATTTACTAACAAGATAATAAATTCAAACAAATCCCCCCTTCTCATTTGTTTGATTGTTAACCCTAATTAAAAAAAAGATTTTTCTTTTCCATCCTTTTTAGTTGCTTTTAATTCATAGGGTTGCATTTCATATAGTTAGTAGGAATTCACCAAGTGATTTGAGCATCTTGATTTGGCACACACTTCAAAATATTTTTAAGGGCAAAACCCCATAATCAAGATAAGGTGAGGGATTTCATCACCCTTTCCTTAGCCCAAAAATCACTAATTCCTCACTACACCACCCAAGCCTAATAAAACTCATTAGACGTTGGCCTCTAAGGATTCGATCTCAATAAGGAACAAGAAATCCTTAAGTGAACCGGTTTAAGTTTTCTCAGATTAGTTGGTGTCTAAGGCAAGGTTTAGGGGTTGCGTAAAGCGCTCCGCAAGGAACGAGGTACTTAATTGATCTTTGATCACCCTCTAGTACTATCATTACCTGTCTAACTACCCGGATAAAACTTTTATCTTTTCACTTAAGGAAT